CTTCATCATCTGTGTTCTATAGCTGCTTTTTCCATAGTGTCAGTTGTGGTTTGGATATTCTGAAAAACAACATGGCTACTTTTCCTTTCACTAAGAACCAAAACCCATATATTTGCTATTCTCTAACAGGAGAAATAGCAATCTGAGAAGAAAATGCATAAATACCAACCTGCATCCATTTATAAAGAACCAGATAGTACCCTAGATACATATTTTCCACCAAAACAATATTATAATAATGTATAATAATTATTAAAATAATAACAAGTTACTATCTTATTTTTCTTATATTCCTTATAAGAATAGAAAATATTGCTAACTTTCATGAGTTACTCTACAGTCAAATTTTTCTTAGACTTCAGTTTACCAAAGAACATGAAGATACTCTAACAAGCTTCTCCATTCCCAACAATTCATGCCAAAGGATCAAGAGGCTAAGGGAATGTCAGTTATTTCTCCTCATTAGCTTTTAGCATCATATTTTTAGTGACTGAAAATACAACTCATTAAGTCTTTGCTGTATCTGTAGTTTGACAGCCCCGTAATACAGTATTGCCACTACTAGTAACAGGCTATTGAGTTCACAAGACCTCTGGGCAGAGGCTTGCCAGGCTTCTTTTGTCTGAACATGTCTTGAGCTGTCTGGAGTTTTGTTTTATTTTGTTTTTACTAAACTTGGTTTAGATGTAAGATCAAATTTTCTTGTGATCAGATGGCTATGATTAATTTTTATGCCTTCCTTTATCTTTGTATGGTACAATCACAGTTTTATATCCATAATAGTAACAAGAAGCTATTATGAGCAGAATGAGCTATTTACCACTCATGTGGTGTGGTATAAAGAAATACAGACATGGCACTGGAATGATAGCAAAGGCCTTGAGAAATGGAGACACAGGATACTGTGAAGAAGACCACAGGTGTGGGTATGATAAGAGATACAACATAATCTCGGCACTGGAGACCCCATTGCTGTGAACAACTCACTCATGGTCACTTAAAGAAATGCAGATCCGGACAGAATCAGGTTTTAGGGGTAAAAAAGAACAAGTATCTAACATAGGTGATATGTGCCTTATAGAGTAGATTGAAATATAATGTGGGGCTGTAGTGTGAGTGGTGTAAAAGTGTGTTAGCAACATTATAAATAACCCCTGGTGAATCAAGAATGACAAAGACAGAAAAAAAAAAAAAAGGAAAAAAAAAGTCAAAACCGCATCCCTGCCAGTGAAGCACTCCAGATTCTAACACTAACATCGCCCACTGACACCAGGCGGAAGCCACAGACCTCAGGAATCGGAGAAGTAAAAGGAACCAGGAAAATGGTGTGGTGTCTGATAAGACTTAAATTACATTTTCATTGATGCGGTGATGACGTCAACTGTGTTAATGGAGACAGCTATACTGTGGTAGTACAGCGCTTCTCTTTGAATTTCATCGTACAATTCAATCAGCACTAAAGTTTTTATAAGCATTACATTCAGAGGACATTATTTGCAAGATTGCTCCACATCCGCATATCAAGTTTCATATGGCATTTCATAACATAGAAACCAAGAGCTAACACAGGGCTACCACTACTGTAATGTGGCTGTTCTTTCTAAATTCAGACTGCCCTTTAGCTCCATTCAGGCTTTAATGTAAGGGAAAATAGCTGAATTTCTACAAAAACTTATGTTGGAAATATACCAGAAGTAATAAATCTTACACATATGATTGATTGGTCTAAGCATGTCTAAACTGTTTCTTCAATTCAGTAGTATCTTCTGTTACAATAGCTTATGGTGAAAGTGCTATAAGTAATTTTCTATGTTACTAGCAATATATCTGAAGAAATATTTCAAAACCACAGTTTCTTTCCAAGGAACAATTTATTTTGCAGATTACAGATGAAGTCAGTATTCACGAAGTTCTACAGATATTTTGTCTTCATTGTAACACACTGTTAAGGTATATCTGTCAAATCAAAAGTACTCAGATGAAAGGTAAGCATCCTTGAAGTACATATTCATAACAATTAAACCAGATGATGCTACTCATTTACATGCCATGTCTGATATACAAGTATACACTAAGCTGTTTTTTTTTGATGATATTTGAACACACAAGAGCCTGATCTGCTTCTGCCTGCTGAATTCAATACCAAACAACAAAATCCATGCAAAATTCTATTAACTCTTTGTTATAAAGCTCCTGTTTAACAGTTGAAACACGATTAAAATGTGAGGTGGTGATATTTGTGGTTTTTTTAGTGTAGGTTCCAGCAGGTCAGGTTTTGATACACCTTTCAGTCAAGCCTGGAATTATGTTGTATATACCTGAACTTTCAATGCAATCCACGAGATAGGAAAACAGATAATCAAGAGTAGGGGAAACAACAAGGACAAAAAGTGTTGTGGAAGTTCATAACTTGACATTAGTATTGTGAAAAGCAAGTGACAGTTAGTGATATAGTGAGGTAAAAGAGGACGTATTGTCATTTGTTGAAAAGCACTTAAAACAGGACTCCACATATGAAGACTTGAATCTTACTGTCAGGTTACAGCTTGGTTTTTTTGGCACAGAGACATAAATTTAAAACTTAACAATTAAGTCACTTAAATGACCCTATTAATATTAGTTTAAATGAAAAGTATTTAAGACAGTTTTTAAAAAACAAAACAAAACAAAACAAAACAAAACACAAAAAAAAAAACCAAAAAACAAACCACCAAAAAAAACAAACAAAAAAAACCCACCAAAGCCCTAAATGAGAAGAAAAAGCCACCCTGGATTAGTCAGAAAACCATCTTATACATTCAAGAGTAACAACTCCTTGTTATGCATTTGCCAACTGAAAAACATTTTGCTTAATTTTGCATAAGCTCTTTTGGGCTATTGTTTAAAATGGTAGGCAATGGATCTATCAGACGAAAGAAAATCAAAGCCATCTCATCTTCAGTATTTTGAATGATTTAGAATTATTCTTTACCTTTCTGCTATAGATGGAAGCAAAAGTCATTATTATCCCATTCATACAAGAAGTTAATTATAGCATAAAATAAATTAATTAATAATATGTTTGTGGTTTAAATTAGTCATAACATTATTGAATATGTGGTAATGTAGTATTTCTTTCCAGGATCTACATACAATAACTTGTCTAGAACCCATCATTTTCACTGTCGTTTCCACACAATAAACAGCTAAACTCAGTTTCATCTGTACGAATGATACTCCTACTGTGTTCAGTATTAACTAAACAATCATATTTAGAGTAACTAGAATTGCATGCAGACATTTAGTTACTATATAAAATTAAATTTGCTACATGAGCGTGAGGATAAGTTGCTGGCTAGGTAAGGAAACTATAGCTCATGCAGTTTAAATCTGCTAGGCACTAACCTTACAACTGTGGGATCAAGGCTGTAAATTCTGCCAGTAGTTACACTTCTTTTAGAAATTGTTTATCGGTTGACATTTTGCCTGGTATTTGGACAGTTTCATGCTAGCTTTGAGTGATGCTTTCATTCACAACTACAACTATACCACAAATGAGAAAGTCTGCACTAGCTTCTCCAGTGATAGGAAGCTCATTAATATGCCAGAGAAACTGTGACAATTAAATTGTAGAAAAGAGTCATTGCAATGTTGCCCTCTAGCATAATATTGTATTATACCCAAAAGAAGTTAGCCCAAGGACTGCCCCACATATCCTATCTTAGCACGGAACAGTGCTCCATTCCCTGGAGAAAACTGAGACAATTATATTACCTCTAGCATATGATTGTGATCTAGCACAGTCTGAAAACCCAAAGATTGCTAAAACAACCACTAAGCAGGAGGAGTACTGTGTAAAGGCCACCAAAATTACAAACCAAATAAATTTTTGGCCGTGAAACTTTGAGAAGTCTTTAGCTACAACCTTTGCCCTTAAAAACTAATTTCATATTGTAAATCTGTTCAAATTTCAATCAGCCCTTTCTTGCATTTCTGGCATTCTGCAGTTTTTATTTAACTCTTGCTTCTAGACAGGCACCACATACAACCAGAGAGCTGCTAGCTTAATCTTCTGCCTAGTCCTATTCACATGTCAGGAGCTTTCAGCCCTGGCACAAAACACAGATGTAGCAGGATAGTTTAGACTCTCTCTTTTTTTTGCAGCTGCCTTACTAGATTTCTAGCAAACTATAGGGCACATTTTTGTATTTGTAGACCATTCATTGATTAAAATATCACACTGATGTCACTGTTTTGTGTGATTCGGAAAATCAGGATTTCAGAAGCATTTTCAATTTCACAATTCTGTTTCCAACAGAAGCATATGCAAACACCATTTGCCACAATATACCCTTGTAGAAAAGGCAGCCAACCGCCTCCTGGCCTCCATCAGGCAGAGCACTGCCAGCAGGTGGAGGGAGGTGATTCTTCCTCTCTGCTTAGCACTGGTGAGACACAAGTGTGTGCTGGGTCCAGTGCTGGGCTCACCAGTGCAAGAGAGACAGGGATATACTGCATTGATTCCAGTGATGGGCCACAAAGGTGACTAAAGGACTAGAGCATCTGGCATACATGGAGTGGCTGAAAGAGCTGGGATTGTCCAGCCTGAAAAAGAAAAGGCTCAAGGGGAACCTTGTCAGTGTGTATTAAAACCTACTGGAGGCAGGAAAGGTGACAGAGATAGACTTTTTTTCAGTGGTGCCCAGTGACAGGACAAGAGGAAACAGGCACAAATTGAAACATAGGAAATTCTGTTTAAAAATAAGAAAAAACATTTTCACTGTAAGTGCAATCAACTTGGAACAGGTTGCTCAGAGAGGCTGTGGAGTCTTCATCCCTGGAAATATTCAAAACCACCTGGACACAGCCCTGATCAACCTGCCCTAGCTGACAATGCTTTGAGAAAGGAGGTTAGACTAGAAGCTCTCCAGAGGCCCTGCCAGCCTCTGTGACTCTGTGATTCATTTGTGGTCACATCACTTCCAAATGTCACAACAGAATTGCTCTCAGGAAAAAATTTCCACTGTTTCTTAGAGTATGTCTACACTAGCAGTTTGGCACATAGTATATACACTTTTAAGGAGAAAAAGCCCACTTGATAAACAGTAGGGAGCACTTATATATTGTGGGGAAATACTGAACTCTTTCAAGGTGTAACCAAGCAAATCTTGATCACCAGGGATTCACGTAGCACGTTGCTAATAGGAACACAAGGTCAATGTAATCCAACAGGTAGAAATAAGGAAACACAGCAACACTCCAGCAACCAGCTCTTACAAGGCATGAGCAGTTTCTGGACCTCTAAGCAGAAGTTTCTAGACTTTGAGGTAGTATAAAAATATTTTAATATGCAAGTTAATAAAAAATAGTATACTCTACCTGATAACCAAATGTGTTGTTTTGTGACCCATGCCTTGGGACTCCTGGATTTTCACATGCTGTGCGAGTAGGTTCTTAAAAAAAAAAATTGCAATAAATTAAAGACAAAAGAAATTGCAGTATTTTAATGAAACATATGAATGTATCACAAAATTAAGCTTGTTCAACAACATACAATAAGACAATGAGAGAAATAAAAGTAAAGTGACTTGATTGTTAGAGAGTATAGAATAACACCAGGATAATTCAAAATAGCCGAAAACTCCTAGATTGACTTAGTAGGAATAGGAATAATAAGCATTTCAAGAAATTTCAATAATATGGGTGTAACCTTACCTATGCATCGAGGAGAAGAACCACTCCATGTGCCATCTGCTTGGCAAATCCTAGTGCTGGAGCCAACCAAAATAAAAGGAGGATTGCAGCTGAAAGAGACTTCTGACTGATAGATGAAGCTTTTGCCTTCTCTTTTCCCTTGAGCAGGTATTCCAGGGTCACCACAAAACTTTGCTGTGAGAAGAGACATGATAGAAATGGAATGTGTCGTTTATTAAAATACACATAAAACCCACTTACCTGAACTCAGTCAAACAGTTACTCCAAATTTGATATTTATTTTATTAAACACAGGTCAAATACAGAAACATTTAATAGGATTTCCAAGAAAGACTAGATGATACCCAATCTTTAGTCTGCTTCAGTTTGTGATAGTTTTGCTAGTTGTTCAAAATACCTACAGAGTGGGCTTGGTCAGTAGCTTGAAGTTGACACTCAAGGTTACAGAACTTATTTTATTAAGGTCCAAATATCCACAATTCACTTCTGCCCCAAATCACATCAATCTGCAAATAGTCATGTAAAGAGCAATCAGAGAGTGTACCAAACCTTCATGTAAGTCTGTTGTTCTTACCTGCTTTCTGTCACCTACCCAGTGCTCAAAACTTTTGTATGATTAAAGGATTTGTCAGACAGATTTTAGGAATTCTACATTCTTACTTCCTCATCCTTCACTGAAAGGTAAGATTTGGTATGTATAGAAGTACAACACTATAGAAAGTTAATTGAAAGTTAATACAGCTAACAAAAAAATCCAAACATAGTAAAGTAATTTCAACAGCAATCTAAAAGTCAAACACTAATAAGCTATTATTAGGCAGGACAAATTTGACTGGTAAGAACATATCCTTAAATTGAACTTCTTACTTTATACCCATCATCTAAAGATTCCTTACATCTATAGCATAGCATAACTAAGTAAATGCACTGCTAGCATATTAACAGGCTGCCTTATGCAGTATAAAGTACTGATTATTGTCAGAGGCTGAATTTTGAATATTTGATTCAGCAAATGCAATCAGCTATTGTAAACTCTGTGCCATCAGACTACATTATTCCCAGACACACCATGAATTCCAATATTGTAGAGTCTAATTTCATATCAAACAGAAAATGCTGTAGTACAAACAAAAAAAATAAAACACTAACCCAGATGTGTGCAATGACATATTTCTAAAAATGTATGTTGTACAGACAGTGGAATTTTCTGCTCCATCTTTCTCTTCCACAAACAAAATTTAAATTACATCTCTTAAACAACCACCTTCAAAACACATTTCTAATATCTCTCTCTTTGTCACTTATCCCTTAAGCTTTCAAAAGGACATGCTTATATGAAATGCTCCTGCCCTCTACCTCTTACTGCAGACACCGATTGCACAGGAAATCTATGCACACACTGATTGTTGAAGAAAAAGGGCTTAATCTGTAACATACCAGAAACGTATAGAATTTTATGGCTTTAAGTGGAATGGGACTGTCTGCAGAATTACAGGCCAAACTGAAAAGATCTATGAATTGGGGATAGTGCCACAAGTGAACCTCACTGTGTGACTGACAGATTAAAGTTCTAATTTATGTTTTCACTAGAAAATTCTGCGATTATCTTAATTTGAAAATACATTAAAACACTTCTAGATTTTTAACACAGAGGCTTGAAATTGTCTCCTGAACAGTTCTTTGTACCAACAAAGTAACAACCACACTCAAGGAAAAAAAGTCCTCACATTAAAAAATACTCTTTGGGTAACTTTATTAATTTTTTATAAAACTAAGTAAACTCCACTACTTAGTTGTCAGTCAACTTTACCCAATCATTGAATACCTACTGTCTATCTGCTTTCTATATAGGTAACCATGGAAATCAGGCACCGTGGTAAAACATGGCAGTTTTCCTCTGATATTGGAACAGGAGACTACAGAACAAACTAAAGTTGCAGCAAACTGGAAGCTCTGTGGGTGCTCCCACTCCCAATTGAAACATTTTCCTAAGGACTCTGAGAGCCTTTAACAGAGACAAGGTCACAGAGCTCTGGCACTGAGGCTGTGAGGCTAGTAGCATTCTTCAAAGACATTTTATTGATTAACAGAAACTTATATCTCTAGTTAGGAATTTTCAGGCATCGGCCTATATATTTTTTTGCCATCTATTGCCAAGCTTATAAAAACAGCAGTCCTTTACTCAAATTGCTATATGAATAGTTAAGCAGACAAATTTACTAGGTCATAGAATACAAAGACATGACCGTATTCCATTCTGAATAGTTATTCCATGTTACAATTATACCTTATGTATCTTCAGCTACAGGCTGTATGGCACTAAGCTGAGAACTAAATTTCTGATGTCAAGAACTGCTTAAAGACTGCTCATTGAGAAGGACTTTCACCAGCTCCCTCTCATTTCTGCCAGATGGCTGCCATCTGATTTCTCTCACAAGCCAATGGGTAACCATTGTACACCAACAACATTCAGTTAATGTAATTTCTGCATGAAACAGCCTTTAACTCCCGCACAGCTGCATTCTGTGCTAACTATACCTTTTAAAAAGTTTAAAGATGGAACCCCTTTTTCAGAGCATATTGCAATATTGAATATTCCAACCTCAAAGATGACAAATAGCTTGTGGTATCCAAAAATGAATGTGAGGACACAATATTTCAGTTAAGAACAAATGATGAAAAAGACCTTTCATGGTCTTTAATGTTCACAACATAGTGGACTCTAGAAGAGCTCCATCTAGAGAACTTAAACAACAAATGGTGGGATTTTTTTCTTCTAAAAACAGTGCCTTTCACCATGTTCCAGCTCTGGCTCATACAGTTTCAGAGGCACTAAGCAACTGTTGATGACATGAAAATATCATTAGGAAAAAAAGGAAAAGATCATATGTATGATAGGCTTTCATAGTAGTAGGATATAGCCAAAACAAAGAACATTTTTGGAAGGGAGAGATGAAGAATGCAAATAATATTAAAAGAATGGAGAACTGCATTTTGCAACATTTAGCAAGCTACCCAGCAAGCTCAGCTATTTGGCAAACTTGAATTAAACTTCAGAAACTGGAAAGCCATGAAGACGAAATTATCCTCTTCCAGTTAGACTCCATGCTGAAGACCATTATAGAGTTTCAGTGGTTTAGCTATTCTACAAATAATTACAGAACCTCCTCCTTCAGTGCAATCAATTGAGTATCTCTCAGAAGCATCAAAATCACTTCTTTAAAAAGGTTTTTTAAATAATGAGTGGAATGACACCAACCGAAAAAGCCACATTTACTATTGTAATGAAATTTGTAGCAATATAAAAATCCATTGATGTTATAGCTTTCAGGTTAGCAAAATTTACTGCATAAAACATTACCGGCAGAAAAAACTCTATGTGACATCAGAGAAAGTTTAGGATAAGTAATGAGCAAATAAAAAGAGATTATAATGAAACTTCCCATTCTGTATGTAGCTGGATCTGAAAACAAAACAGCATCTCTTCATCTTGTTTTGCCTTGGATCATTTGGTATGCATTGCCTGTAATATTTTGTTTGTGTTTGTGTTTAAGGCTTCCTAAATGCTCACAAAGGATTTACAGATATTCTTATGTCTTCCTCAATCTACAAATTATGTTACAACTTTGGAAAATATAGAGGGATTGTATTTGACCCAGGTTTTAAATGAAGTGAATCACTGCTGGAGGGGGGAAAAAAAAAAAATTAAAGAGGAAAAAAGTACTACAGCTGAATAAAGAAATACATGACTATAAAGTAAATACATACGCAAGCACTGAGGTACTTCACCACTCCATGTTCCATTCCCAACGCAAGTCAAAAGAGCTGGAAAAGAGAGTTCATATCCTGGAGAGCAGACATAGCTAATGCTAAATCCCCAGTCCAAGTTTGTTCCTTCCAACCTTCCATTAGAGATCTGCGGAGGAGTTGGGCAGGTAACAGCTGCAATAATATTCAAAATGATTAGGACCAGCTGCTGTAAATATTCCCAGTGTACACAATTACTAGAAGAACCATATGTGCTAATTTCACCTTTTTTAGAGGACAATACAGTCAGGACATGTTATCTTCCTCACTATATTCTTGCCACATTTCCTGAATTTAGTACTTCTGATTTCCTCCATTTAGGAGACAGTGGCTGATTGATGAAGTGTCTTAAATAAAAGAGGATGCTGCATCAAACCAAATAGGAAGACTACCTAAAAATCAGTATGGAGAGTATGAAATGTACAGCATTTAAGATATGCCTGGTAGATACTACAAAATTATTTTGTTTGTCTGTTTAGACAACATAGAGTACAATTATCTTTAGTTGCCATGGTAATAGTCAAATACTTTCTTCCTGTTAACCAGTTTAGGCATTTACTAGATATTAATGCCCAGGGATGAAATTACAGGATGATTGTTCCAAAATATGACTTGAAAGCCTGTTTCTAAGTACTACGGTTTGATTCGTATTTGCTTCATGAATAGCTCCTCACCAAAAAGCATCTAGCTTCTAGCTAGAGGAAGAAAATTTAAGGATTCACAACCTCTTGAAATTGTCAATCTTGCAATCTCTAAGGTGGCCAAGACATATTTCAGTATAGTTTCTCATTTACAGGCCTCCCAGGAAAAAATAGAAACATCTTCTACTCAGTTGTAGGAAAGAGGACAAAGAAAGAAAAACACCACCGTAGGACAGTAGAAATAAACAGACATAACTGTACCGACAAAGATAAAAGTGTTATTCGCTGGATAATGGGGTAGTAACAGACAACTGCTAATTGAGAGCTCAAGGAAAAAGGATATAAAAGAAGTTAAATGAAAAAAATCTGAATCAAAAAGAGAAAGGGGGAAATTTAAGCCAAAGTTACTAGAATGAGTGAGAAAGAGAAAAGGAGTAAGAAGAGAAAAGTTGGGAGAAACTATGCTAGCAAAAGAGAAAGAAAGCAAATTAAACTAATATGATTTAATTTAGTGGAGACAGTTAGGGTAAATGAGAAGAGCTGGTGACTAAAAATAAAGTAGAGAACACACAGGTCACAAGAATGGAGGAAATGAAATGCTGCACTCATAACCTTTAAACTTATGTTTAGACAGCTGTCATCTTACAAGCTCAAAAGAAATCAGAGGCACTAGATCAGGCGTACCATGTATTTGAATGTGATCTGCAGAAGGTTCACCATGTATAATTTCTCCATTCTTATGACACTCTTCAGTGAAAGAATCTCAACTGTTTACACCACAAAGATGCTCTGCAGCATCATTCATGACTGGTTGAAAATGCTGGATGAAAGTATTATTAAATAATCCTTTGCCAATCAGTAAACCAAATCTAAATTTTAAGGCCCTATTTTTTATCCTTTCTGTTTTCTTCCTCTGGTTCATAGTTTAAAAAAAAACACCAACCAACCAACCCAGAAAAGGGCATGATAGCTTTTGCCACACTTTCATGATGTTTTAATGAAAGTAAGTCAAAATAAGTGCTCCAAGCAGCAAAAGTCTGTTTGCTTTCTCCAAGAGCTTCATGACTAGTCCTTTTAAAAAGATCTGTATATTTTAACTTCTGAGTTGAATAATAAAGGAAGAAACACTGGTCAATAATTAGTAACAGAGACAGAAGAAGTAGCATGAAAACAGGTGTAATATCAGAATTTTGGGGTGAAAAAAGCAAAACAAAACAACACTCAGCAACAAGGCAGAATGCTTCTCTAAATATTTTGGTCAGAGATTTAACCATAAATACATACAGCAACATTTCTCAGTTTAAGAGTTGAAAGTATATTACAAATGCAAGTCTGCAGAAAAGACAATGCTTGAATAGTTGAATATTTAGTTGCAGATGAACATAGATCCTTTGCCAGCTAGGCAAAAGCATAGAATTATTTATATCTTCTATTTCAATAGCACAGTGACAATTACACATCCATTTTCTGCTCAGTTAATTTTCCAATTATTTTAACTAAATAGTACCAGAGGGCCCTGGCACTTCCTCCTGACAGTAAGAACTAATTGTTATACATTTCAAACACACTAATGCATAATATATATTATTTTTAATTACACAATCAAAGAAATGGGAGTTATTAACTTACCTAGTCCACTCACACAAACCTGTGTGGAGTAGAATGAAGTTCTGAGAACACTAGAGATTCTGCATATGATTATTATTTAGTATTTATACAAGTCATAAATAGATATGACCTAAACTGAGAAAGATTCAAAAACTCAAAGCCAAAATTGACAGTCTAACTCTCTCTGTATGGTTCTGTTTAAATAAAATCAGAGTTAGATCTCCTGCTCCCAGTTAGGTGCCTTGTAGTTGTTAAGAATTTGAGGCTGGGAGACTATATAATAAATACTTGTTCTGTCTTACGATCTTCTATCTGGTTGCTTACAGACACTCTTGGAGACAGAGAGACTCTTGGTCAATAGGACCGTTATGGCTATTCTTCTGTTCTTACAATCAGTTTTGTAATTGAAGCTCAGGTTGGCTAAGAGCACAATACAAGTAGAAAAATAAAGTGAACTGTTAAGAGGATCTCGAAGTCTGACATCCTCAAGAATGTGTTGGGGAAATAACTTTTAAAATTAACACTATCAAAGGTGAATTAGAATTAAACTGGACTTGGTAAGATATTGGGAGAATTGTACTCAGCAAGGACAGAGTGGGTGGAGGGTGGAGATTTGCAATTTGTTTGATCTGTTTGATCTGTTCTGATGAATGAATTCAGAGGAAGAAAATGAGAACTACTGAGCAAGTATGTAACTGTACTTCCTGAAAACAAAACAGAATGAGGATGTTGAGAACAAAGTAAGTGCAAACTTACACGACTAAGTTTTAAAAGAACAGAGATCAGACATGCTTAGTGTGAACCCAGAGAGAAGACATCAAAACAGTAATGGTGCTTCTCTACAGCTGTGCTATGAGGAGAGTAAGAAAAATAACTCTAGAAAGAAGATGTTTTAGGGTTTAGCAAACAAGTGAGTTTCTCAGAGAAAATTGTTTTGATGACACAGGAAGGTAGTCTTTCAGTAACATTCAGATTTTTTGCTGTTTAAATTTTAACAGAGAGCATTAAAAAAATTCCTAAACACCAGAAAAATCAGGAATGCAAATAGTAAAAGAGAGAAAAGGAAGATCTTGAGATTAATCCTTTCAGTTCTCACAGTAGAGAAAATAATATGAAGCAGAAAAATGTTTAATATGAAATTTGCTAGAAGGATTTAGTGTTTTTGTTGAGTATGTCAATACAGCACAGTGATGGTCAAAGGCGTACATCTAATGAAGCAGGGATCAGACAAAAATCTTAGTATTATGGACAGAGTAACCCAGAACAATTTGCCTTTGACAAAGTTCAGTTGTCAGTGTGCAGATCTTTCCCAAAGGTGTCTATCATGTGCTTGAGTGGACTCTTTGCAAGGACAGAGACATATACAGGTCATTTTTTGCATGATATGCTAACCTTAACAAACAAACATACAAAACTTAACCACTATTTCATATTAGCTAATTAAGTTTAGCAACAAAGTAATAAAATATTCTATAAAGCTACAAAAAACTGTTCAACATACTGTACTGGTATGAAAAATAAAAGGGAAAACAAGCAAAGGATGAAGTCAACATTCCTGCAGCCAAAAAATCATTTCAGTGTATTCATACTAACAGTAAGTTTTTATTTTTATGGAAATATTTGGCTGACTCATTACAATAAACAGTGGATGTAAATGTCATAGAAGAAATAGTTGACAATCAAAATAAATGTTGTACCTTTGCATGTTGGGATTATTCCACTCCATGTGCCATTGCTAGTACAAGTGCGAATTAAGGAGCTATTTGAGTCCATTGTATAACCAGGTTGGCACATGTAAGTAACATTTTGTCCAACAACATAATCATCACCGTATCTCATGCCATTGGCTGGGACTCCTGGATCTCCACAACTGATAACTGCAAGTAAATAGTTGAAGAACAGATTTTAAAACGTAAATGTGATTTATTTATATGTGAGAGGAAAAACAGGGCAAAACTAGGAATTTATTGAGGAAAAAAGGAGAAGGAAAAAGCATCATAAATCTTATCTCCAACAAGAGAAGATAAACATGTATGTCATCTGAATTAGCTGCCAAACACAACATGTGGAGCTGTATAACAGTCGTTTCAGAGAACATCAATACATCTGTTCAACAGTAGAAGTAATGGACTGTACAATTTTGATCAGTAAAATTTCAACATCATAAAATGAAAAAAAAAATAAAATCCATATGTCACTACCACCCTTTGACACCCTCAAATTTTCCTATCAGTTCAGAGTTTCATTATTAAAGAAGCATGTATCTGTTGTTTAGTTTACTTTTCCTCAGGTACATCCTGAAAGGAGGCACAATCTGGAAAATTTAAGATATATGTCTGCAAAAAGCTCCCACTTTGTAAATGCTCACATGGTTACTATGTACATAAACAGATGAGAATATTCAGGCAACCCCTGACCATGGGCCATGGCTTATGCCAAAATTAGGCCTATAGTACTTCAATGAGTTGGAGTGGTTATAAAACCTCTTGTGACTTCTAGTGTCAGGAGATCATTTAATCTCCTAATTAGATTAAATATTCATAGGGAGTTAATAGAGAGTTATACCATTATAATCTGAGAATAATGTTAAAATAGGTATGTTTCTCTCAGATCTAGTCAATTTGGTCTATTAATTTCTGGAACAGCTTTCAGAGTAAGAAATCTTGAGAGCCCTAGTGGCAATGATAAAAAGCTGCTGCTTTCAGAAAACAAACAAACAAAGAAACAAACAAAACCAACAAAAAAACAGGGAAAAAAATCTAGTTCATACAAAATACACCACCCATGTGTTTTACAGTTTATCTTATCGTAAACTTGACAATCCCCCTACAGCATTGTTGTTACTTCTGGAAAACTGGGGGAGGCAGTTTCCTGGGCAGAAAGCACATCTTGGCCATTTCTAACTCAATGCCAAAGCATGACCAATGATGTGAATGGCACCCTCTCTGTATCCTGGTTTCCAAAATGAGAAAACCCATAACTACATGCTTGTAGTGTATTCTGGCAAGGTCCCTTGATCTAAATAATTGGGGAACCGAGAATCCATGCTACATAGTATGCCTGCTCTACAGCTTATCACAGTCTGAGTGAGCAGAAACTAATTAAGCTGCACATATCAAATCTTCAAAAAGAAAAAAAAAGTCCCACACAATCGCTGTGTATGGATACAGAAGAGACTACAAAACATACCACAGGGTTATCTGAGTCTAAAGGTAGCTAGTGCAGTGATAAAGAAAATTGGAGGTCAGCCTATTTTATTTTACCTAGTAACACGGTAATTTAATTTTTTTTTTTAAACTTAAGAAGTTATAGTTTTTTTTGTCATTCTTCAAAAAATACAATGCTGTGAAAGACAGAACTGTTTCTCTTAGTAACATGAGTATATTCAAATACTCTACATGTTCTACCTTTCTTTATTTCACATGTTCAATTTACTATCTAATGTTTACTAATGTTAACATTTACTAACTAATGTTGCAAATTCAACTAAAATCATCCTTGGTATTTTTCCCAGTATACTATTGTTTTGACCTGGTTACAACATAATGCTCATGCATTTATCTTTTTTCCCTAATCTTTGTTTCATCTCTTTAGATTTTCCTGTATGAAGAATATTTCAAATCATTGTTTTATGAATTTAAGTACATGCAAACACCATACACGATACATGATCAACCCACTGCACAAACTATCCATTTATTTTATACTGTTGAAAGTTATTTTCTTTGTTTAGTTAAATCCAACTAAAAACATATTCTCAGCTTTTTCTTTCACCTTCCTTACAATCTCCATTTCTTTCTTTTGGTCATTAATACAAATTTTTTGCTTCTTCCACTGTTACTGTTACTGTAATGATTGTACCCTTTCCTGTTACTGACACTTTAACACTGATCTGTTAACAGCAAGAGCCACCATGACGTTAGCAGATCTCTAGATTGTTCTACCTTCTCAGAATTCCTGCCTTCCTAACATTAACTTTTCAAGCCCAAGCCATGTTTCAAAGGAAAAAAAAAACAACCCAGACCTGATTTTCTATTGTGTGTTTTTTTTCCTTCTGTACTTACTAGTCTTTACTTACTACAGGAAAAAGAGTTGCATGAAAGAAAATACTTAGGGGGAAAAAAGAGTCATCCATATTACTGTGCTGTAGCATTAGAACTGTTCATAGAGGTGAGCTAGGGGCGGTAAGGAGAATATGCTTTTGCTCTTTCGTCTTATATTGCAGCATTTGACTTTCAAAGAAAGCAAAAGCATATGTAAGGAGGTGACCTAGATTTTACTGAGATATTGTGTTTTGTCATAAACATAGGAATAAGGTTTTTTATTTTAACTGGGATACAGTTAATTTTCTTCATAGTAGCTCATATGGTGGTGTGAATTTGCGATGAAAACAGTGTTGATAACATAGGGGAGTTTCAGCTATTACTGAACAGTGCTTGCACAGCATCAAGGCCTTCTCTGTTTCTCATGCTGTCCTGCCAGTGAGCAGGCTGAGGGTGCTGAAAAAGTTCGGACGGGACACTGCTGAGATAGCGGACCCCAACCAATCAAAGGGATGTTCCACACCATACGACATCATGCTCAGCAATAAAAACTGCAGAAGGTGGGTACACTCAGAGTTATGGTGTTTGTCTTCCCAAGAAACCACTACATGCGATGGAGCCGTGCTTTTCTGGAGATGGCTGAACATCCCTGTTGAATGGGAAGCAGTGAATGAATCCCTTACTCACTTGGCTTGTGTGCACAGCTTTTGCTTCACCTATTAGATTGTCTTTAACTCAACCCATGAGTTTTTGCACTTCTACCCTTCCAGTTCTCTCCCCCATCCCACTGGGGGGAAATGAGTGAGCAGCTGTGTGGTGCTTAGCTGCCTACCAGGGTTAAACCACAACAGTATGGTAGAGACAGACAGAAAAAAAATTAAATAAGACCTGCTCTTTCAACAAAGTCTTTTGGCACTGCCAATTGTACTACTTTGGATACACTTTGAAATTATTATAAGAAAAGTGTTCCCTTACAATAGACAATCTTCTTCAGGTGTATGTTATAAACCTGGAAATAAAAGTGGCAGGAGAAAAGAGAGGGGATTGTTAACTCGTGATCCATTAACTAGTTATTTAGCTAATATTGTCAGTTAACTCTTGTTAATTATCTGTTAGCGATTTAAAATTGATACATTGTCATAAGAGAGAACATAGCAAGTTAAATATGATGAAGTTTAATATACTTTTTATTTTATATTTAGATGTGCTAGGGAACTGTAGAATTAAAGGTCTATCAAAAGGAACACAGATTGGACACAGCTCTGAGCAACCTGTTATAGCTGATCCTGCCACAAGCAGAGGGACTGGACCACACACTCTCCAGAGGTGACTGCCCACCTCAGCCATTCTGCAGTGCCGTAAAATGCCTCTCCATTTCTGGGTATTTTAGAGCTGCTGCTAGTACATGTATCAACTTAGATACAAGTTGTAGCACCTAGTAGCGCTTCTGCCCTCCTCAAGGAATTAGTTAATAGTCAGCAATGATCAAAAAGGCAGAAATTGATCAGGCTGAGATTCTCAGAGTTCACACCTTTTTTGGTAAGATTTTCATTCAATCATTCTTTTCATATTCTGACCACTCCAGGGGATACACATCAAAATAAAAATGCCTAAATAACACTATCACTGGAATAAATACATAAGGAGATCTATTTTTTAGATGTGTAATCATAACAGAGAGAACTATGTATTAGGAATGTCAACAGATTTATTTTATAACAAAGTTAAAATATTTATA